AGATCTCAAGTGTGTGCTGACTGCAAAGCAAATGAGCCCTGATTAGAGTGCTGAATTTCAAAAGAAATAAAAGAGTAACAAAAAGGTAATGTTAAATCATATCCTTGCAGCTATCTTTCTTGACAGCGTCAGTGACCTTCCCTCTCCAAATATTCTGGCCTCCTCTACCCAAGCTTCTGAACATTGCTCTTGGACCAGCCATAGATCACCACACTCATTCTCTTTCATCCACAACCTTGAACATCTGTGAATGGAGGTAAGCCGTCAAAGCGGACCTGGACAAAGTCTCTCCAGCAATACTGACTTCTTGGTGACTCATTTACTTGTGCCCATAGACTACCCTGTGTGGCTGTCCCTCCCATTTTCTGTATTTTCTCTCCTTTAAGCAGTTTAGGTTTTAAATTCCTGGACATCTGCCCTATTTCTCTGCTTCCCTTCACATCAGGTTCCTAGAAGAGCTACAAATATCAGCAGGGTGACCTTCCTGAATGTCAGAACGTTCCTCATGTTCCTGGATCCTCACCAGCCTACCTTTTACCCCCTGCACTCCACATGACCCAGAATTAACAAAGTCCTCAAGAACCTCAGAGCTACTAAGCAAAAACGCACTTCTCTTCACTGTCTTTGTTAGCTTGTAGCTTGCAGCACACAGCTGCACAGCGTCCTGATTAAAGCATCCCAACAGGGAGGAAGACAAGATAAGCAGGCAAATAATAACCTGTTTCTCATCCTGCCTTCCAGGATCAGCTCTTAAACCTCACCATCCACCTTCATTCTCTTCATCAAAGGGGTTCCTCTGATTTTCTTCTCTGTCCATTACACCTTTCCCTTTGTATCAGACCCCAGATGAAGCCATCCATGACCATATTCATCCACGACCATATTCATCCACATGCATATACATATATGGATCATCCACTATATATATAATTTGGAATAGATCTATTCCAAATATTTTTCCTCCTCTGGCCCTTACTTATGCCTTAGTTGTTAACATATAGCCAAGAGGTGTCTAACCATCTACAAGCCTGCCCCTGCCAACATTTTATTCACACTGGAAATATCACCTTTCTCTGAGGATGTCCCTGTATTCCAGAATAACAGGAAGCACAAGCAACATGAAATAGCTTTCAGGAGGAATTGACCAGCAATGGCCTCTAATGCCTGACCACAGATCAAGAGAACTGTGGTCCCTCTCTAACCTTCATCACCCTTCAGTTAGATTATGAGTCTTTGACTTGCTGGGATGATAGCAACTTGCTCCTGAAGCAGTTTAGTTAACTATCTTAGAGGCCAAACCAAATACTAAATGGTCAAATGGGATTGGATTACTGGTTTCCGGGGCTTGGAAAACAGCCAGTGACCCAACCTTCAAGCAACGCTGTCTACCAATAACTACCAGATCAAGCAAGCTCCTTGAGAGCAAAGACTCGGCTGCTGTCATTTCTGTGTTCCCAAGGATGCAGAGCCCACCACAGAGAACGTACAGACCCTTGACTTTCTGGGGTCAGAGTTTTACAGACAGATATAAGTGACCAGAGGGTTTTCAAGCAACTATTTGGATCAGATGGAAAACTTCCAAATAAAATTTGGATGAAGCAAAGAAGGAGAAGCAGGCATCAGGGGTGGAAGAAGAGGAGAAATGATGTATGTATAGCTGATTCTCATTATTCACAGTAGTTTTGGTCTATGAAGTCACTGTGGACACTGGATTAGTAAATATTGAACCGTTGCTCTTGGAGGAAGCACAAGGTAAAATTTCTGCAAGCCTCTGGTCACAAAATTTTCATCAACTGATCAACACATAACCTTGGCTTCTGTGATTTCTCTGTTTAAAGATATCTTATTCAATAGATATTGTCAATTTATTAACATCGAACAAACAGGCAGCAGTACTGTTGTCTGCGGGAAGCTTGTCTACACACACAGTTTCTCTGTAAGGCACATCATGGCCTTGCACTTAGGAACACCAGACAATGGTGCAGCCCCACTCTTGGGGACCATTTTAAACAGCAAAGTCAACAACAAAAATCACGAAAAGGCAAAAAACATAGCACTAAATAGATCGTGAAGACCTGGAAGATAAGGTGCCAAGCCGTGTGAACCTTTCACTGCTTTGCACATGTTCATAAATAACCACAAAAGGGCTACAAGTATTGATTTTGGTAAATTTTAGCAAGTGGGGAGATTTACAAATACAGAATCCATGAATAATGAGGATTGACTGTGTGTGTGAACGTGTGTATGCACGTGTGTGTTTGTTTATTTATATATCAGACAAAATTCAGAACCTTGCAGCTGTCTTTCTTGACAGCTTCAGTGACCTTTCCTCTCCAAGTATTCCATCCAAGCTTCTGAACATTACTCTTGGACAATCCATAGATAACCATACTCATTCTCTTTCACCCACAACCTCAAGCAAATGACAGACATGTTGACTCTTTAGAATGTAACAGCCTGGCTTAGTCATCAAGACAGGGACAGTAGAGATCTAAGGTAGACCGAGGACAGGGCAACAAGACAGAAGCAGCCTGCAGCCCACAGTGCCAGGCGTTGCAGGGAGTGGCTGTGGCCATCAGCCAGCAACAGACTCTAAGGGCTCTTGTTGAGGTGGGATGAGGGTGGATTATGGTGGCATCACGTGCCACAAGCAACACAGATGCTCTGTCTGTCTGTGGTGACACAGATTACAAACATACCGTCCTTGTTCATTCTGCAAACTTCCACACTCAGCCTGGGGCATGACAGGACCTGCCCTCCCTCCACCCAGATGCCTCACACGGTCCTGTCCTGAGGATTCCCAGCCTAGTGGTGTGTCCGAGAGCAGCAATCACAGATGCACAGCAGTCAGAGCCACTCCAGTGAGGAACGGCCCTCCAATATGTCACCACCCAACCAGCTGGCACCTAAGAGCCTCATTTCCCAGAGCTGGATCTCAGCAGGAAGGAGACCTAGGAGGAGAGAGTGGGTTTGGGGGTAGAGACTCCATAACCAAATGTTTTGGTTGCAGATTGGCAAGATATGACCTTTGGTGAGAATCTCCATATTGACAGCTCTTAGCCCTATGCCAAATCATAAATGTTCATTCAAGTCTGGTGAGGGAATAAGTAAAAGAAACACAAAGCCAGACATGGTGGTTCATGCTTATAGCACTTTGGGAGCTGAAGGTGAGGATCACCTGAGCCCAGGAGTTCAAGACCAGCCTGGGCCACATAGGGAGGCCCCATTATTTAAAAAAATTTAAACACACACACACACACACACACACACACACACACACACACACACACACACGAGGAAAGTGGCTGGCTGACCAGCTGTGAGGCTGCTTATTTTATGAGAGCATGGCTCCACGAAGGGCAGCATTAGTGGCCCATCAGGCTAAAACATCTCAGCTTTTTTCATCAGACTGAAAAAGCGTTTTTTAAAGCACTTTTTTACATGTTGTCTCATCAATCCTCGGGTTAACGCTATGTAGCAGAGGGGGTGGATATCAATACATGCATGCCATTAGTTGAGTTAACTAAAGCCTAAAGATGTCAAGGACATCCATTTGAGCAAGGACATCCCATAAGTTACTGCCATGGCCAGCATCTGAGGCCACAGCTTTCTGACGGGTTTCATGGTAGGAAGCAGGCCCTGAGGTATGCGTTAGATTCCCCTCTCATTAGCACTCAAGGCAGCCCCCCCACCCCAGTCCCAGGACCCAGCAGGAAAGCGTCCACGTGTCACCTGGGACACAGCCAGGGCTCTTGAAGGCCCACTCTGCAGGATGTGTGGACCTCAAACCTGAGCACTGACAAAAAAGAACTTAGAGCCAGCGATGCTTCTGGTCTGGCTCCCAAGCTGGGGAGTAGGCTGCCTGGAAGCCAAGCGGGCAGCCAGTACCAGGCCAAACAGGCAACTAGCACCCACAGAAACCCCCGCTGCCCAGCAATTGCTCAAGGCCATGAAATTCTGGGCCTGCTGGTTCCTGGGGCAGAGGGCAGGTGAATCTGGAGCTTGTGTTGACACAGAGCCCCCAAGCCCCTGACTGAGAGTCCCACAAAAGCACCTGGACTTGAATTCACTGTGCCCCCCAAGGTGAGGAGAGTGCTCCAGTTTAGACAACAACCAAGCCAACCTCGGCATCCTCGTCTGCACTTGATTTGCGCTTTCCTTGTTTGATGGTTAGAGCCCTGCCATACCCACCTCCAGTGTAGACAGCTAGGCAGAAGCTCTGTTTTGGCTGCCTTCTTTCAGGCTACTCTCTCCAATACATGCCAAATGCTAATTTCTCACAATTCCCAGTTCCTGCTCCAATCCATCCCTTTCCCCCCCCCCCCCCCTGGCCTTGGATGGGAATCTTTGGCTTTCCAATGCTTTTCTCACACCGTTCACACCTGTAAGCCTGAGCTCACGTAAGGGGAGCCTGCTGGTAGAGAAACTAGCCCTGATCAAACAGAAATGCAGGTACATTCCGGACACTGCCTGGGTGTTCCAAGGTTGGCTTTCAGTCCAGGGACAAACAAACCTTGGGTGAAGATATGGGCACAGATCGTGATGACCCAACAAGAGGTGCCATTTCCCTTGTTCCAAGGAACAGTTTGGATTGGATGGGAAGGCAAGCTCTGAAGCCAAGCTCTTGGGCTTTCCCCAAAGGCATGCCTGTCTTTTAGTTGAGGAAGCTGTGGTAATCAACAGGGAGGAGGTTCACTCTGGAAGGACGGACACATGGGTTGGTGCAGGAGGCTGTGGGTCACAGGGGTAATGGAAAGATAGAGATCCACACAGCAACCTCAGGAAAGCGATTTCCAAGTGAGTCAGAGGACACATCTGGAGCTGAGGGGAGAGGGAAGAAGACACCACTCAGGACCTCTTGCTCCTGTGGCTGTGAGCACCGCATGTTTCATGGACATTGGAAGGAAGGAGACTTGGAAAATGCAGGAGCTCCATTCATGGAAGCGCCTTGGTTCCTTTCCCTTCCTTTTCCTTGGGGAGAGCCTGGGAGGAAGCCTCACCTGAAGAAGCCTTTGCAGCCTTCACAGGTCATAGCATTGAAGTGAAAGCCCGTGGCTCGGTCTCCACATACTCCACAGATCCGGGGCACATTCCGGTCAAAGTCTCCAGGGTCAGGCAGGGAAGTGCTGGCCGCCATTGCCTCCATCCCTGTAAGAACAGCAAACAGGCCATGGCCAGAGCCAGAGTCAGTACCAGGGCCAGATGGCATCCTTGGTGCCACCCGCCCCCCAGCGTCATCCCACCGCCCCCACCATCCACCACCAGGGAGCTCAGCAAGTGTGGACGTGTCCCCAGGGCCCAGGCCTGAGCACAGTGCCTTTGGAGCCGTCATATATGGTTCTTCCTACACAGCTGGCTTACAGCACAGCTTGGTATCAGCTGCCTGGTTTCAGATGCTGTATCTGCCAGGCTAATTTGGGTTTGGTGGTTCACCTCTGTATGCCCCCGCTTTCTGCACTGGAAGAGGCACTTTACTTCCAGGGTGTAAGGATCATATGAATGAGCCCAGGCATACCACTGGCACCAGCTCCGCCTCAGACACAGGCCTGAACCAGGTCAGGGGCTTCTATCCTGCCCAACACCTGCTCCAAGGGAAATGAGAGTCCTCCCGCAGCCTCAGTACCTCACATGTGGAGAGAAACCCTCAGGTCTCCACCTCTTGAGGGTGAGAGAAATTGAGGATTTAGGTGCCCAAGCCAGAGCCCTGGTCATTCCAGCCCCAGCTCCTCACAACCATAAAGCTCGGAACTAACAGGCTTATGCCCCTGGTGTTCTGGTACCAAGATGATCAAAATTTCAAGATACTTTCCCCCACTTTTTTTTGGCAATAATACTTAAAACATTATTTTGAATGCCCTTCTGAGTCACGTGAGTCCAACGCAATTAATTGTGTTTTCAGAGGTAGTTTTTATAAATAGGCATTATTATCTAGAGGTGGATTTCACACTTGAGGAAAAGGAGAAGAGACAGAGGGAATGGAAGGAACAGATTTGGGAAGGCCTTCTCAGGAAGCAGGGGCTTGACTCTTCCATTAGCTGAAACTGGGCCCTCGTCTTTGCCTGCTGACTCTGATCTCATCTACGCCAGGCTCAGAGATGACTCTGGGATACCTCAGACTGCCCTAAAATGCTTTCAGACCCTCCTGCCTCCAAGTTCTCCCAATTTTATCTGAATCCTTGCAAGGGTCATTACAGGTTTAAGTTACCCCTTTGACCCAAGGCAAAGAGCCTTTCATGTCAGAAGGAAAATAAGAGAGAATGCCCGGAAAAAGAGGGGACAAGAGACCACTCCACCCCAGGGCATTTCTTCCTGCCCCTGGGTGACAGGGGCAGATTCTGGGGGCTCATGGGTGGCTCTGAGCCACTTTCCAATGACTAGGCCCATAATCCCTGATGCAGGGTTTGGAATATCAAAGCTTATCTTACTTCATCTCCATACTGCTCCGCGGTGGAGGTGCCATTGTCATCACCCCCTTTACAAATGAGGCCCAGAGAAGCCCAAACCTTAAGACATCTCTAGAAACTACTACTGCAAAATGAATTTTAAACATTTCTTAAAATTTTCCCAAAGAGCTTCATGCCAAGGAAAGAAAGTGGTACAGATAGGCAAGAATATAATATTGTCTGTCCCAAAGGGACAGAGGGAATCCCGGTCACAGGCAGACCTCGGAGACTCCCTAACCTCATTTAGCTTTTCTTTTCCCGGAAACCTTAATGTAGTAGGTTGGTGCAAAAGTAATTGTGGTTTTGGGCATCGAAAATAATGGCAAAGACTGCAATTGCTTTCGAACCCTCTTAATAATAATAGTAACCCTATTGCTAATTTGTTTCCCAGCTAGATTTATACTTGCTAAACTCTAATGCATATACAATAATACATTAATGTGTATATTATGTATACATCAGTGTATATATTACATACACATTAATACATACTTTAATGTATATGTTAAAGTTTAGCAACTATATATACATTGAAGTTTAGCAGTATAAATATATACTGTACCTATATATAAAGAGAGAAACACTTTCAAAAAAAAACAAAAATCATTGCAGCAGTAGCAAAAACACAGAATCAACCCAGGTGCCCTCAACTCTGGACTGGATAAAGAAAATGTGGTATATATACCCTGAAATACTGTGCAATCATAAAAAAGAACAAAATCACGTCCTTTACAGCAACATGAATGCAGCTGGAGACCATTATCCTAAGGAAACTAACACAGAAACAGAAAACCAAATAGCACATGTTCTCACTTATAAGTGGGAGCTAAACATCGTGTACATGCGGACATAAAGATGAGAACAATGGATGCTGGGAATGCAAGTGGATGGGAGAAGGGGCTGAAAAATGGCCTACTGGGGACTATGCTTGCTACCTGGAAGACAATTCATTCATACTTAAAACCTCAGTATCATGCTATATACCTTTGTAACAAGCCTGCACAGGTGCTTCCTGAACCTATAAGAAAAGTTCAGAAAAAAATGAACAAAGGAATGATTAACAGAAACCTTTGGAGAGATGAGATTGGGGAAGAGTGTGCAGAGGCATTATGTAGTAGCAGTATTCTATTTCTTCGAGTAGTGAGTATATGTATCTTATTCTTCTCATTATTATCAGAACACTACATCTATGTTTTGTACATCTGTATTTGCATGCCCTTCTGAATGTATCAAATGTTTCATAATTTAAAAACAATTAAAAATAGAAAAAGTGCCTGTGGGTCTATCAGCATTGTCCCCATACCCCATAGAGCATTCCAAGTCCAAGCTGACATCTGCAGGTTTTAGAACATAGCGCACATCTAAGATGTGGCCAGCATCCCGGAGGCCCAAGGCCATTGTGCGGTAATAGAAACCGTCCAGGATGCTTGTGGCTTAACCCTGGGTCTGCTGAGATGCTGCAGTTCCGAGTCATCGTGGTGTTGCTACAGAGTCTGGGTCATCCAGGCTCCCAAGCATCCGGTGGATTTCGTGGAAAACAGAAATCAAATGGTGGGTAGGAAGAAATATCCATTAAATCAGTCCAGCAAGGGTTCAGCATCACACGGGCTCATGTGGAGATGCTATGATGCAAGCGAGTTGGAACAACTTCCTACCACAGTGCAGCAACGGGACAGGCCTGCAGTGGGGTGAGGTACTGTCCTGACATCAGGAAGTCTCCATGCTAGGGATGAAGGCTGGAAAGGCTGGATCGAGCAGCCAGAGACCCACAGTGAACAGGACCATTTCAGGGGAGCTGACACAAGACCCAACCCTGCTTGGGCTTTTTTGCTGCTATCAAGAAACCAACGCCCGGGACCAGAGTCCGCATGTGGAGAGGAAGCTCAAGCCTCTGCGCCCTGAGAGCTGAAAGTCCTGGGAATGACAGGCAGAGACTACAAAGGTCAGGAGAGAGAAAGAGGAGATGGAGGCTGGATGGGTAACATCAGACACACAGGAGAGCCCACCAGGATCGTGGCCGGAGCCAGCGAGCCTCGTCTCCTGAGCCCCTCTCTGAACTCCCACCTGCACCCCACATACCCCTGCATCTCAGCTGCAGACTTTGCTGGCCCAGGACCCACCGTGCAAAATCCTGGGTAGTATCCATTCCTCCCCCTGCCCACCACCTTCTTATAAGCCACCCCTGCCCCTTGAAAGCAGAAAGCCAAGGAAGTTGTGGCTGATGAGGAAACACCTACCTGAAGGAGCAGGGGCAGGTAAGTGGAGCCCCCGGATGCTCTTCTATGAGGTCTCACAGACACTTCAGTCCCAAAGCCTTCTGTAAGGAAGAAGGGGAAATGTTTCATCTAAGGCAGAGCACTGACCGCCTCGACAGTCTCTAAGGAAGTGGGCATGAGAAGCTCTTTCCAGTGACTTTAGTCCCCAGACCAGGGACTGCAAACAGAAGTGGCTGGTTGGGGGCAGGTGTGCCATGTCATCGCTGGCAGGGGTGGGGGGGTGGAGGCTGGGCAGCAGCCAGGATGGCCCTCCCTCAAGGCAGGGAGTAGCAGAAGCCATGGGAAGAGGTGGTATGGAAACAGCCTCCTGCCTAGGCACTTCTTCTCCTCTCACAGCCCAGGGTGTCAGGAAGGAGGAAGGGCTTTTTCCCTAGGGAGACCCACACTCCCACTGCCCCTTCCATCTCCAGGTTGTAGGCAGCTCGGGAAGCAAAGCAACTGGGCCACGTGGCCCAGTATTGAGAGCGGGAAGAAGACAGCTGCCTGAGGCAGGGCGGCTAGGAACCACACAGGAGCTGGGAATGGGGCGGGCTGGGGAAGCAGCCCACAGCCCTGGCCTTCTGGGACAGCTTCAAAGGCAGGTGTCTGAGATCTCCTGTCTGTGGAGACGGGGTGTAGGCGGAGCAGGTGCCGCAGGGGTTAAATACAGCAATGCATTGCTTTCAAACAGGATGTTTTCTGCCACTTTTAGCTCTTCCCCAGACACGCTCAACACCCCCACCTGCAGTAGGGCTGACTTTGGTGCCCAGACTCTGGATCTTAGCAGCTGGCAGGGGGGCCAGCAAGGAGGGACTGGCAGAATTGTACCCTTTCCACTTCCACAGACACCCAGCCCTGCTTGTCCACCTGCAGACATCAACAGACAGACAGACAGACAGACACACACACACACACACACACACACACACACACACACACACACACCTTTCCTTCTCTGATGCCAACAGGAAGTGACCCTGGCAAAGGTCTCTAAGCCAAACCCCAGATGGGGTGTATCTGGACCCCAGCTTTTGTCTTTCTTTGGCAACGTCTGTCTTCCAGTGGCCTAAGCAGGGAAATAGGAGAACTCAAGGGGCTTCCAAGACCTGGGTCCAGTCCTAGAACTGTGAGCCAGCTGAGCCCATTTGCCACTCCTTCCAGCACTGCCAGTTCCCAGGGAGCATCCAAGGAAAACACCAGTGGACAATGGGCTGAGATAACCTAAGCTGGGCTAGCCCACCCCCAAGAAGTGTGGGCAGTGGGAAGTATCTGCTGGGGACAGACATGCTGCCACATACCCCCAAGCCAAGCCCCCCTTTTCCCACTCTGTTCCCACTACCCAAGTTCCACCTAGCTGACCACACTCTGCAGGGTTCCCTCTCAGGCCTTATTGATTCCTCAGGCCTTTCCCGGTGCTCAGGAAGGTGAGGTGGGGGCAAGATGGGGGCAGAAAGGAGCACTGCTTTACTATCCTCAGTCCCTGTGGTTTTCAGAGGTCAGAGGTGACATCTAGGTAGAACACCACCCTGGAACCTAAAAAAACATGTTTCTGGAGTATTTACTACATGCCAGGCCTGCTAAGCTCTGCATACATCATTTCATTTAGTCCTCACAACAGTTCTATGAGGCAGGGAGCAGCCCTACTTTACAGATAAGCAAAGTCAAAGTTCAGAGCACTCTGAGTCACTTGCCCAGGGTCCCACAGCCAGGCAAGGGTGGTGCCTGGGGCCAAACGAGGACAGGCTGATTGCAGTCCCCACCTGGGTCTTTTTCCAATGATAGTCATCAGAGCAGATGCCTCCTGCTCCGTACTGGGCCTGCTCCACGTTTCTCCTGTGTACTCATTCACTTCACTCTCACGGCAGCCTCCTCCAGTGGGCACTGTTATCACCCCTATCTTAAGCGTGGAAACTGAGGCACAGAGAAGGTGATTGTCTTTGGAGCCGGATTTAAATCTAGGTAGTTTAGTTCGGAGTCATTTCTGCAACCCTAAGCCCTGGACACGTTTTATTTCCACTAAGTAGGGAAGAATGCAGAGAACAATCTCCAGGTCGTGAGGGAAGAACCTGGGGATTATTCTTTTCCTTCCAAGGATCCCCAGGCCAAGGGATGGCAGGTCTCAGCCAGGATCCAACCACCTTCCCAGGATTCAGCCCCTCTCAGCTGGGAAAATCCCATTCAATAGATGGGCCTCTCCTCCTCACTCAACTTTCCAGTACTGGACGGTCCTTTTAGGAGAGATATCCTAGACTCAGCCTCTAAGTCCAAGTGCAAGCTTATAGGAAAGTGGGGCAAAGACATAAGGTGGAAAAGAGGACAGGTGGAAAAACTGCTTAATACCTGCCCTCTGCCACGTCACACGCCCATCCCACCAGCAATTCGTGTTCTGAGTACATAGAACATCCCACTGCTTTTGCTGGGACCGTCCCCAGAGCAACCCTCTCCTGACCCTGCTTTAGAAATACCAAACCCCTAGCCCTGAGCCTCAGAGAAGCAGAGGGGGAGGAGCTCAATTCTGTAGAAAGCCCCTGGCTTCCATCCCTCCAGGGCCTGCATCCCACATCAAAACCTCTGCCTGACCCTGACCCCAGTCCTGACCTTGCCTTAGCAAGAAATGAGAAGATAACATATTTCCTTCCAGTCACTGAAGCCACAACCACTGCCTCTCCTACACGTCTGCCTGTCAACCCATACCACAGGCAGCCCCATCTTGCAGCACCTTCTGTTAAATGGGCACCCCCAGGCAGTCTTGCCTATGACAGTCTTGCAGGGTGTCAACTGCCAAGTGTCCTGGGCAGAGCCCTGGAAAGACAAAGATCAAGGTCCCTTGTGGCTCAGTTTAACTCCACATGGACTGCCCACCCCCCAAGGTGGTGAAGCTGTGACCACTAATGTCTTTTCTAGCTCTGAAAGCATGCAACTCCAAGACTGGAATTCCCATCATGAAAAGTACTTTTTTTTCTTTATTTTTAAGACACAAGTTCTCCTCTGTTACCCAGGCTAGAGTGCAGCTGGACAATTACAGCTCACTGCAGCCTCTAATTCCTGGGCTCAAGCAATCTTCCACCTCAGTCTCCCAAGTAGCTGGAGTTACAGGTGTGAGCCATGCCGGGCAAGGAGGCCTTAAATGAGATGAAGCTTTCTCCCTGATCCCTCATTAACCAAATGAACCCCAACGTCCATGCCTCAGTGAGTGAGACTCATTCATCCTCAGATGCCAATGAGCAGGAAGAGCACAAAAGATGTGGCCCCTAATCAACCGCAGTGGGAAGTGGAGCCCAGGAGAGAGGTCCTCTCTCTGCCAGGTTGGGACTGGAATGATCTAAACTGGGCTTTCTAGTTGTTGACATTGTTCCAAAGTTCCCATTCCTTCTAGAAAAAAATGGAAAGCCAAGATACTTCCCCACAGAGGAGGAGACAACTCTTCTTCTTCCTAAAATTGGCACATAGAGTCAGCCACACGTTGGGCTTTTCCAGGAGAAGATATGCCTGCGTGTCTGCCAGCCACAACTGCACAGGTACTTGTGCACACACACACTTGTCATGCTATTTTTCGTTTCATTATTCCCTAAATTCTGCCTCATCGAGTGCTGAGCACTGCATGACCTACCTGACTTTTTATTTGTCATCTCTTTATTCTGGTACATAACTCAGGCATAACAACATTATGGCCAGCTAAGGTGATACCCTCTCTTCCTTCTCCACCATCCCCAACAACCCACTTTCTTTGTCCACAACAATCTCAGGACCTCCCAGAAGATGCTGACCAGGAACAGAGCGATAATAAGGGGAAGGGGACAGGGTTTACTGGATAAATAGAACTTATCCAGACTACTTCCTGCCCCGACTGTCTCCCCCAGCTCCTGCATACACACATAATTTAAACATGGGTAAGAATGGTTGGAAATTATTTTCTACAGATCACAATGTTCACAGCAAAACCCAGTAGATAACTTTCAGCTCAGAAAATCTCAAGATTGGAAGGCAACAGCACCACCTAGTCCAATCATCTTAAATTCCTTCGATAATATTCTAGCCAAACAGTTTTCTAGCCCGTGCTTGAATAATTTTCCTAGTGCAGAGCCACCTGCCACGGTATCCATTCTCTTTGGATGACTCTATGCTTAGAAAGCTCTTTATCATGCACAGATGGAATAGCCCCTGTCTTTCAATGTAGTTTTCAATGGCTGCTCCTAGACAGCTCTTTGCAGCCATATTAGACAAACCTACTAGGCCATTCACACAGGAGCTCTAGAGGAGGATTTAGGGGCCACCATATGGTGCCATATGCACATTGGAAAAAGAGCCCTGGCCAGGCGCAGTGGCTCACACTGTAATCCCAGCACTTTGGGAGGCCGAGGCGGGCAGATCACTTGAGGTCAGGAGTTTGAGACCAGCCTGGCTAACATGGTGAAACACTGCCTCTACTAAAAAAATTACAAAAATTAGCCAGGTGTGGTGGCAGTCACCTGTAGTCCCAGTTGCTCGGGAGGCTAAGGCAGGAGAACTGCTTGAACCTGGGAAGCAGAAGTTGCAGTGAGCAGAAATCGCACCATTGCACTCCAGCCTGGGCGACAAGAGAGAAACTCCGTCTCAAGAAAAAGAAAAATTCAAAAGAAAAAGAATCCTTTTTTCTCAGACACTTAGACTTTTCTAAAACATTAAGCCCTAAGACACTTCACTTCCATCAGTCAGAAAATTATCATAAAAATAGAAAACTCTACAATGCTTATGTTGTGAGTGAGGTTTGAGGGGAGAAGCAGCAGCAGATAGCCTGGGCTACAATTAATTTTGATTTAGACCCCATCAGCTTCCCAGGTTTGATCATGATCCCCACAAGAACAGCGAGTAAGGTGGTAGTGTAGACAGCGTCTGCCTTTGTGCCCTCTTCCGGGAGAGAATGGTGTCCATTCCATGGAAAGAGCCCATGACGCAGTCTGAGTGCTGGGTGTGCGCCCAGCAGGCCTGCCCGCCTCCTCTGTCTGCCACTTGGCTCTTTCCAGAGGAGGCTGGGCCCCAGCAACCCAGCTCTAAGGACCTCTAAGAACATTTAAGAGCCTCA